AATAATACTTTTATTGTATACCAAGATACAATTGCTCCCTTGAGGAGAAGTATTTGTATGAATGTTTAAATTCTGAGCTAAATAACTTGCCTTTTTCATGAAATATAGTTTACTTGAAAAAAAAATTGATAAACCATGGTTAATCAGGATTGAGTCTCTGGCAAAGATTTTCTCAAATGTGAATCATGTGAATCTATCACTTAAAGGAAAACTGCTGATAAATTTATTGCAATTATAAATTCAAGCTTTTAAACTTGAATTAAATTCAAATGGGAATTTTGGAAAAACTGTATCTGTACCATGAGCTTAAGAGCTTTCCAAGACTCAAAAACTTCTCTGTCAGTGGTAATACTGACAGATATGATTTTTTTTAATTAGACAATGAATTGTGTCAACATTTGGAACATCTGCATTAGTCAGTGAACCCATTATTTTCCAAGTGACCAACGCATGATGTTACAAAATCCATTCAAACTGCTAAGTAACAGTATGAAGAACTCAATGAGGTAGTTCAGATTCCATGTTGCAACTAGCCTTTAACAAACTCCTACCTGTCAAGTTCTGACAAAAAACAAAGAAAACATTTATAACAACCACAATAGGTCTTTAAGACACTTCATCCTTTTCTAACATGTTTTTGTGAAGCAGGATTTTCTTCATAAATTTCTCTCAGAAAAACATACTGCAACAGGTTGAATACCTCAAGAAATGTAAGAACCAAACTCTCTTACATTTAGATGACAGATTTATAAAAATGTAAGATACTGTTACTTCTTACTAGTGTTTTTTGTTTTGGAAAACATCGTTATGTTTCATAAAATACATACTTTATGTTACATGTATTTGGTTCGTCACTGTTATTTTAAAGTAACTTAATGTAGATTTGAAAACTTTCTCCTCAGTTTTAATTTCTAACATAATAAGCATTGGTAAGTATAATCCCAATAAACAAGAGTTCTCTGACATCCTACTAATTTTTAAGAGTGTGAAAGGGTTAAAGAGACCAAAAACCATGGTCTTAGAGTGTGAGCTTTCAGTATCTTCTGAACTGTTTTCTGTTGTTTATTTTTAACATTCTTATAAGCAAGTAATAGTTGTACATGGGGTTTCACTGTAACATTTCTATATAGTCTTACAACTACCTTGGTTCTGTCCCTCCAGTGGTGTGTCTTTCTTGTCCATTACTTTTGCGAACATTTCCATAAAGACTAGGACCTGATGCAATGTTACGGTATTTGTAATAATATTTGGAAAGAAAACAGTTAAAAATCAAGCATTAACAATTGCTGTGTATTTGTTTTTACAGGTCTTTCTCTGTAAGTCATTTCTATTAACCATGCTTGGCTATAGATGTTTATAACAGAACATTAAAGACTAGGTAGAAAGGAGAAAACAAATTACAAAGAACCCAGCAAACTCTGCTAAAATACTGTCAGTTATTTATCTACTGTCAGCAGAGGTTGCACACTATAATCCTTGACAAGCTCAGATTCAGAAAGACTGAAGAGAGGGGGCAAGCCTTCCACTTAAGGGCCTGTTCTCATGCACAGACATTTTAACACAGATTTAAAGCCAGAATGTATCTTCTAGAAAATGTCACTTTTGATTTTGATACATATCTTTGCAAGGAGGCTCTACATTTGGTTGACTTAGTACAAGATATGTTAGAGGCTAACACTATATTTTAGATCATTCATGATCCCAGTGCAGAACAAACACAATGAGGTCAGCATCACTTCATTTTAGAGTTGTCTACCATAACTGCATGATTTCATGGGCATATTTCTTTATGTTAAAAGGAGGGGTTTATTTTTGTTTTGTTAGGCAAGGTAATGACAGGCTTGAAGAACCCTGTCTTTAGGGTTTGAAGGCCCTCTCCAGTGTCCACTTGTCCTTTATGTTTATGGAGCAAACAACTATTAATGCATTCTCCTGTCCTGAAACACCTTCTCTCTGGAAAATGTGCATGGCCAAGGCAAAAATGCAGGAGACTGAAGAGCTTTCTATAGGCTACACCAAAGCAAAGCCCTCTTCCAAGTGCTAAAGTAGCTCACAGTACTGACAAGAAACATGAGCACTGGGAAGGTGCAAACTAAGAGACCAGCATAAGAAATGCAACCCTAGTCATTTCCAGCAGAAACCCGGGTTTCCTTTAGAACACAATTCCTATCGACTGGTCAATGATATGATTTCTACACGAATGGTAAAAGGGTTAAATAAATGTGTGCTTGTAGCTGGAGATGTCTGATGAATGCTGAACCAGAATCTTAATTTTCTAATTCATATTCACCAATTAAAAATAAACTGTATTTTTATGAGCAAATTTACATAAATCAGACGATAAAGCATCTACTACTAAAGGGTAGGAGTTCAGCTCCCAACATTTGCATATATTCTCCTAAAGAAAATATAGGCGTTTTAGATTTTCATTGAAGAGTCTTGCTGCGCTGGAACTCTAATGGGCTTAGAACAGTAAATTTTGAAGAAACTGATTGCTACCCCTGTAGCTAGTAAATGTCTGCCTAGACCCAGTGGCATTTGAAAAAAGTGTTTTATCATAAAATTATCCCAGCAGAGTCCATTCTGCAAGATAACATCATCATCATCATCATCAGTACTCCATGCAGGAACCAACAGCTCTGGCACAATATTGCCAGTCATTTATCTGTTGTCAGCACAGGTTACACACTGTAATCCTTGACTGCCTCGGAATTAGAATGTCTTTGATGTCCCCACAAGAGTTTTTTGCCTGAAGGCTTTACCAATGCTCGGCGGCTCAGTGTTTATTCCTCGTAATCTTCCTCTCATCTCCAGGCTAGCAGTGACAGATGGTTATGGGCACACAATAGTATTAAGAGTTTGATATTTTTTTTATGCTGTGCTCTCTGTACAACAAATAGCTATCAGACGCGGGCCAGAGAGCTGACATGGCTCGCTTAGGTAATGGCAAACGAACAGCTCGGGTTGATGCTTTCTGTCATTTCCCCTCCTAACCCTGCTTGTTTTCATTGTATACTCTCAAAGGTAAACTATATTAACCTTATAGACTGTTATTAAAAAGATATATCTATATGAGCATAAAGTGCTTTTCTTTTCTCTTTTTCTTACTCTTTTGATTATGAAAGTAATACTGCTGACATATTGAACAAATATCGAATGTCAACATAAATTTTTAGTGTGTGATAATATCCCCCTTCATATAGCTGTGTGTCAGGCGGGAACTCGTGGATGATGCATAGCAGTAAATAACCCAAACAAAATTAGTTCTCTTGTCAGCTTCTACCTTGTATGTCCCCAGGCATCAGTAAAATTGACTGCACGCTAGATTTTCAAAATTAGCCCTAATGTTAGCTATGTGTCTGGCAACCTCCAAGTTTCCAATGTTCTACTATATTACCCGTAAGGATGAATGTGTTACTTTTATATTTTGGCATTTACTCTTGCTGATGTGGCTTTTTTCCCTCTTCTCCAAATTAAAAATAATTTAGCTTTAACAATAAGAATCTGCACAAACATAATACTGCATCTCTTTAAGCAACTAACTTTAGGCAATTAAATTAAATTAAAGCAAAAATATACAAAGGAAGAGAGGGAATTATTCAATTTAATATTGTTAATTTTATTAACATAGATCTGTCTTATTTTGTACAAAGTATTGAATAACATGGTTTTCACTCTTTCCTCTCTATTGTTGTTTTGTAGCAGCAGCTACAAATTATTTAAGGTTTTTATGATAACCCAGAAACAAAGTTTCTAGAACTGATTTTCTTGCATAAATATTTATTTAGAGACAACCAAAGGTTAGAAGAATAAAGGAAAAGATTTCTCAGAAGAGAGTAAACGAGAATGTGTATTTTACCTTCAAACAAGTTAATTTCATCACTCTAGACCCGCTGCCTTTAAAAATAATGTAAAAGAATACCAAACACTATCACATTCAAAGTAAAACATGGTTTATAAATAAATGTTATTCCCTTAGAAAGTCTATGCTGGAAGTGTGACAATGAACAAACAAATCCAAAAACATACTCCATAACAACTTTCTGTCCCTAAATTTTAGGTTTATACAATTAGAATCAAAGACAAAAATCCCTTTAGGTACCAGATGCTGCAAAACAACTGAGAGAGCTTCTGCAGTTTCAATGTGCTAGGAAGCAAATCCTGGGCAAAGGTGTTCCGCCAGCTGGTGTGGTATGCTTATTTGCTTTACCTGTAAACAGTTGCTCTCACAAAATTGGACCTAATGATTAGCCCAGAACTTCTGCAATAAAGAAGCCATAATCTGTGGGGGGAGCGAACTCTAATCAGGCCACATGCAGTTAAACTAACTAGGAGGAATAAAAACTAGATTAAAATGTTCATGCCTAATATCAAAAGATTATCAGGACATTTTACCTCCTTAAATCCTAATTTATAGGAGCCAGGGTTAATATTGTGAGCTTATATTTGGTTGGCTAATATGCTGCATTGATTTTCCTATGTTCAGAAAAAATTCAGCTAGACAATATTTTGTTTAGCACAATACAGAGGCATTTGGGAAAAGGGAGACAGTTTCATATGTACTGATAACTATGACAAGTAAAACCACTTGAAACTGATTAAAGCCATAGTAAATGATGGAAATTGCTTTATCAATGAATATATATATGAAACTGTTTTGTGGTAATAGTGTGCATGTGTGTATGTATAATGCAGTCCCGTTTTTCCAGTTTGAAACTGCTCAACAAGATTATTTCCTAGAAGTGTCTGACTACCACTGTTAGTTGAACAAAGCATTTCAAATAGTTATCAGTAATTCAAATTTAATCTAAACAAATAACAATTAATGTAAAGATATTGAGTAGTGCCACCTTGGCACTGTATTAGTAGTACTACCACATTAAAATGTAAATGTAAGTCAAAATTATCTTTTTCTAAAGCTACAAGGATAGGAAATTAATAGGTCAATCATCAAAATATATTTTCTAACACTCTTACTACATTGGCATGTCTTGACTTACCACCTGTGAGGCCAGACAATATGCAATGGTCTTTGCTGATCATCAACTCCATCCAAAATGTCACAAGGATTAAGAATCAGATTTTCTTTACTTTTCCCATGATGAGAGCTTGAATTATCTGACAAGTTGGATTTTTTCAAGTCTGATTCCTGATTTGAACAGTTGTCCAGGTTTTCTTGTGCAGTACTGAGGTCAGAGTATACATCACACTCTGAATTAAAATTCTCCAATAAATTTTCAGAATCCCTCTGATCTGGATGGGAAGGAAGGGCCATTGATGGGGCAGCACCACAATTTCTGTTAAGGCTGAGCATCTTCTTTAAATGAGCTATTTTGTGCTTGGGCATGAATCTGTTACAAAAAAGGGAATGCAATATGCTATTGGTGAAAAAAAATACGTACAATTTGTCCCTTACCTTCCTATAAGAACATGATGATGATGTAAATAAAACTGTGGAAAAATAAAGATGTTATAACAAAAATTTAAGAAAAAGTACAACAAAGTATTAGCCACCCAAGAGAAAGTTCAAAGGTTTGCAATTGGACTAGATCATGTTTGAATAGTTTCCAAAAAGCTTCTGGGGCTATAAAACCTTTACCGCACATATCATAAAATGTAAGACTATAAAGATAGTTTACTCTTTCCTCACATTCCTTGTCATGTTTTTTGATTTTCATTTTGTGTTTTCCAATTATCGCATGGCCCAAGGCACTTGTTCATTATCCTATAAAAATGTTTGAAACTACCTTGATTAATTCTTGCCATTTCTGCTTACATGACTGTTCTGTATTCCTGGGAACCTATATGTACTTTTTTTTTTCATTTATTCATATGTGCATACAATGTTTGGGCCATTTCTCTACTATCCCCCACTCCTTCCCTCTCCCTCCTACCCCCTCACTTCCATGCAGAAACTGTTCTGCCCTTATCTCTAATTTTGTTAAAGAGAGAGTATAAACGATAATAAGGACAAAGTATTTTTGCTAGTTGAGATAAGGATAGCTATACCGGGAGATTCCTAGCATTGCTTCCATGTACATATGTGTTACATTCTAAGTTGATTCTTTTCAAACTGACCTTTTCTCTAGTTCCTGATCCCCTTCTCCTATTGGCCTCTTTCACTTTAAAGTTTCTGCATTAGTTCCTCTGCATTGAGGACATCAAACACTATCATGTTTTTTGGGTTTCTTACCTATCCCCATACCTCCTGTGTGTGCTCTCGCCTTATCATGTGACCAAAGTCCAATCACATTGCTGTATTTGCCCTAGATCTAAAGTCTGCATATGAGGGAGAACATACGATTTTTGGTTTCTGATCCTGGCTAACCTTGCTCAGAATGATGTTCTCCAGTTCCATCCATTTACTTGCGAATGATAAGATTTCATTCTTCTTCATGGCTGAGAAGAATTCCACTGTGTTCTTTATTGAACTTACTTTGCTAATGTTCCCTGAATTATATTTTAGTATCTTTTCCATTATCATTTTTATATCTTCCAATCCATGTTGTAATAACAGTGTTCAGTATCTGTTACTTATTAATATAGAATGTAAATAAAATGAAATCTTAAAAATGCTAATATACTCTAAAATCTGTGAGCCATGCATATGAACATAGGATCTATCCTCAAGGAGTCCTCTATCTATGGGGAAACCAAGAGTGTTTAGAACAGGGAGGGAAAGAAATGTGAGAATAGCCAACAAGTCTATGCTGGAACATAATTACATAAACAACAGACACTCCAACTTTTGTAACTGAGGACATGAAGAGATTAATCCTAATGTGGGGGGGATCAGTAAAGGCTTGAAGAGGGTCTTATTGAAGGACACTGCAAATCAAACCAGTTCTGGATTGAGGGAACAGTGGAACCAAAGGAAAAAGATGTGCAGGAACATGAACTAATCTGGGAATAATATGCAACCCAAAGAGGCTGGGATACAGTTCTAGAGACGGATGAATGAGCCAGAGACCCAGTGCTCTCTTAGGTCGAGTCCCATCCAGAGACTTGGTCTTTTCCTGAATTGTTGAGTAAGTAAAGAAATGGGGAACACTTGTACTTAGGAGACAGGTGGGAAGAAAAACCATGCAGGTGAACAATAAAGAACATCTGAATAAAGAGAAAAAGAATCTGAGAGAGTAACATTATACTATGGAAATGAATCAAGAGCTATCAAAAAGTATGTAAAGAGTATAAATACTACAGGGTGCCAAAAAAGCTTTCTTGTCTGCTCTAGGTCACTGGCTGCTAGTACCAAGGAATCCCTGGGGAGTGGCAAAGGCAGAAACCCTGCAGGAGGTTAGGGTGGGTGGATCAAATACATAAAGGTAGAGGAGGTGAGAGAGTGGGAGCAAGGATGAATTTTTAAAAATGGGGCATGAGAACATAGGAATATTCACTTGAACACACTTGTTAGGGAAAGAAGCAGGATTCTGAAGACACATAAAAGTCTTGGGAGATGAAAGTGGAAAAACTGCAATAACTGTGAGGAGTGGCAGGATTCTTGGTTTGTGGGGGAAGGTGGGATCTTGCAAAACTGAAGGAAGGAGGAAAAAAATGAAGCTGAAAAAAAAATCTAAACAGTTTCAGGAAGCAGGTGTAGATCTAAGGAGTTGTCACACTGAAGAAATAGACCAGGTCTCTATTTCAAGTGAGGTGAGCAGAGGTGGCAACGGAGTTTGAGAAGCAAGCTGAAGGATGAGGATGGTCTTTGTGAAGAAGAGGAGAGTGTGCTAACTAGGGCTAAAAGTGAGGGCTTCTGAGCACACCTACGGAGCAGCATGGAATCCATGTGAGATGGAAACAAAGTCTTTGCCAGTATGTACTATGTCATGTACATTCCAGAATGAGGAAGCTGGCTTTGGGGGTTTCTATACTTGCTTCATGAAGCCCAAAGTCTATTCTGATTTCAAATAGTTGGAGGAAAATCAACTGAATATGTATGAACCACCCAAATAATAAATAGATGACTGTAAATAGAGATAAAATACAAACCTCTTAAGTATGCCATGACAAAATAATAAGTAAATAAATGATAATATAAGTATGTTATAACGAAAAGTTCTTCATTTAAAATGGGAAGAAACCTGTGATTGTAGTTTTTGACCTCACAAGTCCAAAATTATCAAAAGAACAAACCCTGAAAGAAATTCAAAATACCGAGGGGATTATAAAGAACTAAAACACACAAGAAAAGTTCTTACTGATTACCACAACAGGTAAGAAACAAATGGCTATGACAACAGTTTCAACTTCTCCCAAAGAAACAACAAATGGTAAGAGAAGGAACATCTGTACATATCTAGAAAACAATGATAAAGCAAGTGAAGTAACCTATTTGTTTCTGTCAGATAAAGAATGCCAGGCAAGCTTAAAAAGGATTTTAATAGAATTACAAACTTAGTGTGCAAAGGATTCACAATAAAAAAAAATCAATGGGCATTGAAACAACGTACCTTCATTTTAGAAAACAGTATCATGACCCATCTTAGTCATAAAATCCATTTATATGGGCCAGCATGTGAGCAAAACTGCAAATTAAAAGAGACAGGAAATTGGCTACAGGATTGTAAACAATGGGAATTAGTAACCGACAAAGAATTTAGCTGTGGGCAAGGTGGTAGGCCTGCTTTCATTCAACATGTTTCCTAAGTATTCTCAAAGATGACTAGAATCCCATGTTACCACACGGTTGCAGATGGCTAACTTGATAGGTGGTAGAGAATAAGGGCATGAGAAGACACGAAATACAAATAGGGACAATAAACAAAACAGCTCAAAAATTCCATGAAATTAAAAAAGTCAGAATAAACTCTGAATCCATGATAGACACAGGGAATACACTATTTAGACCATCTGGAGCTTGACAAGATAAGCAAGCTCTGATTTGATCCAGCAACGGATGCCACTTAAGTTCCGATCCTGTTGTATAGAGAAGGAAGACAGTGAGTCCGTAAGCTAAACGTCAGTGTAAATGGCAATTTTATTGGGGCCTCTGAAAACTGTGTATGTTTAAAAATTAGAAAGTTCTTAGAAGAGCAATAATAATGATTAAAGCAGTAGAAGCATTGATTTATGAGGACAGATTAAAGGAGCTAAATATGAATAGCCTGGTGAAGTGACAACTAGAGGGGTACATAATAGGAGTCTCTAAGGAAAAAGAATAATTATTTAGCGTGGTACAGGGGGTACAACTTGGAGTAATGAGATGAAATTAAGAATGGAAAAATTTAAGCTGAATTTCAAGAAAAACTCTCTGACGGTATAATTTATTAGTTTGTAGAATAAATTCCCTATGGAAATTCTTCAGCTAGGGGAATTTAATAATAGATCTGGACAAAATACCAATAAATAATATAGATAACAATTCAGCACATGAAAGAAGGTAGCTACAAGCTATGTGTTCCCTTATTTATAATATATTTTCACATTTTTCTTTTAATAGTATATTATATACTGACTGTCACCAAAAGAAGCATTTAGGCAATTAGTTGAATTTAACAGGATACCTCCTTTAGTTGGGAGGAGGGGGAGTTAAAAGCACTTTAGTTTTCATATACTCTGCAGCAATAAAGAAGGCAGAAGCTGAAATAATTTTTTACCATTTTGTTCAATATAGCTGGTCTATTTGTCCAGCAGGCTGGACAAATGTATTAATACTTCTAAAAACAAAACAAAATAATCTTCATTCATCATTCTACACAGAGTCTATTCTGATTCTCTTTGCCATGAAACTCATATTTTCATAGACATGTTTAATTTAAACAATTTAATGCCATAGCAGAAATCAAAAACTTTATTTCAGCTATTCTAAATGTAGCTGCATGGTCAATTACTTCACATCAATACCAAGATCAAATAGGCATAATACTAACAAGCAGTTTGCTTAATAATAGTCACCACACTAATTAACCCATCCAGAACGTTCTTAATCAGACACTATTTATAATGTACAGTTAAGAGAAGCCTGGCAATAAACTGTTCTATACTAAAAAAGGACATAATATTTTAGTGATAGAGTGAAAACTATGGCTTTTCTATGGAACTGGACAGAATGTTTGTGCTGTCCTGGCATTGACTCAGTAACTATGCAAATAGGCACATGTCTGAACACTTCCTTTCTTTTCCCCAGCTCCAACTCTGGTGGAGGTGCTAATGAGAAGAGAAAAGGTCCCAAGATAAGGAATGAGTGAATAGAAAGACTCAGAAGAAAAACAGTGAGCTGCCTCTTAGAACACATGTCAGGCCTGTCATTTATTAATCCCCCACTTTTCTTAAAGAAATATTACTACCCATCTTACTCTTAGAATATCTATTTCTGACTCTCTCAGAAATTACTATTACTAGCCACGGA